GATCTAGTAATTCTTCTGCATGATTATTTAAATTATTTAAAATCTAAAGATGAAAATAACGTTCCAGAAACCATTTCAGAACATTTAAGGGAAGAAGGTACTAGGAAAAGACAGAAATTGTAAGATTTTTGTATTAATCATCATGCAGAAGAATTACTAGGTCGAAAACTTTATCGCTTCTTTACATTCTTCCATTTTTTGCAACTTTTTCCAAATATTTTCATATCAAAATGAAATTATTGATAGGCAAGAGGAAAACAAGTAGACAGGTAAACAGGTAGGGTTGTAGATTACACATATATACAAATCAAATTGTTATCGATTAAATCGATTATTTACACATGTTACTAACTTTCTCTCAAGGCAAAAGTTTCAGGTTCAAGTTACACCTAGGTTTAGGACAAAGAAAACAATTATGTTGTACCTGGAGCTAAAAATAACTAAGCAGGTAACAAGATTCGAGAGTGAGAAAAACAAGGTAATTTCTTTATAATTTTTTACTAATTGTACTCCAACACAAACAAAATTTGTTCATTTTTTTTTAATTTTAGACTTTTCTCATAGTTTTGAATATCTTTTATAAGTTCTAAATTTTTTAGAATTTTTGGAAAAAATCTTTTTTTTAACTTCTCGTAGGGTAAGTTATTGTAATGGGCCAAAAATCGGAATTGAAAATTTTAACATTTCTCGACGTTTTGAAGGTTTCTGAACGTTTTGGCATACCTCAGAAAAAATGGATGTGTGTGTGTATGTGTGTGTGTATGTATGTATGGATACAAATTTCCAGTCACGTTTTAGGGCGCACGGATCAACCGATTTGAATGGTTAAAAAAACATTCGATTCCTATTGATAGGGAAAAGAGCTGATTAGTTTTTGGCAAAGGCAGGTCCAGCCGTTTCGGAGATACGGAGCAAAGAGTGCAGAAAATAGAAATCGAATTTTTGAGAGAACGGAGTATCCGATTTGAATAATCTAAAAAACATTCAATTAGTAATGATTGGGAGAAGTGCTTATTAGTTTTTGGCAAAGGCAGGCGCCGCCATTTCGAAGATACGGAGCTAAATATGTAAAAAATGGCAGTTTTTGAGAGAACTAAGCGCCCGATTTAAATGATTCCATTTTTGAAGTAAAACTTCTTTAGGCGCGATATGGGTGTAAAAATTTTTAGGCGCGACACGGGTGTAAATCCGTACAAATGCAACGAAAATGCCAACGTGTAGTTGAACACTACGACGCCGTAAGCGCTGATGTCGCGAGTATCCTTTAGGCGCGAGTCATGTCATGCGTAAGTCGAACGCTAAACCCTATATGAACTTGCATTAATTGAATCACGTTTTTTTACAAAAGAAGAGGTTGCTGTATTATGTCCTCATGGAATAAGACTTTTCTTAGAGAATAAATGTGTCATGGAATATAATAAATTTATACTGAATCTCGTTGAAGACAAAATAATATCTACTGCCACGGATATTTATGTAGGTTGCCATGCGACAGATCAACAATCATACATTCGTCAGCAGTTTCAAAAAAATCGGTTATTGATACAGGGGGTTTGCCGTATGAAATAATTTTAGTTCTGAATAAATTTTACATAATAACAACTAATATTGATGTAAGTGATGGCTTAGCTAATGGTTGTGTGGGAAAATTAGTGTACATAGAACGTGGCGATAATGATGAACTTCTACGTTTATGGTTTGAATTTCCCGGTAAGATAGGTAACAAAATTAGGAAGAAAGCTTCACATCATATTCAAACTCTTAATATCAGTAGGACAGCTGTGCCGATGCTCAGGAGATCTTATTATTATTGATGTTATATGATTATTAAAAGATGATTTTTAAAATTCAAATATGATGTTTTTTTTATTTTTATCTTAATTGCCTACTCATACAATATTAAAAGTTTTACTTCAATCGCGTGTGATCCTTACGCGCACTCTTTTTTTTTTTTTTTTTTTTTTAGGGATATTTTTGAAAATATGTATTCGATTTCCTTTGAAAATTTCGAAATATTCTCAAATTTTTGTAAGAAATCGTTTTTTTTTCAAATTATGCGATTAAAAAATAAAATATTTTTTTCAATCAATATACAAAAATTATTTTTTCATATTATCAAAGAAATTTTTCGTATTGCTTTCTGTATTCAGATTTTAATAAAAAAGACCTTTCAAATGATATCCCACAAGGGATAAAAGATACAATCTGAAATTTTTGAAGTAAAACTTCTTTAGGCTAAGGCTAAGGTTCATGATTCTTTACTAGATAGTTATAATCCAACATAAACACACAATTAAAAAAGAAAATAATTTATTCAATCATTATACAATAATCATCACTTCATAATTATTTCTTCATGAAAAAAGATGATATACTCTTGGTTCCACTTGCAGCCTTGCCCCAAGCCTTCTCTTTTGCAGAAGGAGCTTTCGTTTTTTCTACTTTAATCGGCATTACAAAGTCTTCGGTATCTTTTTCTAATTTGATTTTCTTTGTATTCTTATCATTTGTTGCTAAAGATTTTCTTTTTTGATTGTCTGGTTGTTCGGTTTCCGGAATTCCTAGATGGACTTTTAACATTTTGCTTAAATCGTAATTTATGTACTCGGATATTATGCCGAAGGCGTAGGCTTTGTAATCATCTGGAAAAAATATAATGATACAAATATATATATATATATATATATATACGAGTATAACAGAATCTTCGATGATGCATGAATCTGACTTGCTTGTTTATATGTATAATAAACAAATGTGCTTTACCCTGTTTTAGTGTTCTCCGCACTCAACAGAGGGTCTAACTGTGCTCAATTTTCAAAGCTAGTAGATTTATTTTGGAATAAGTTTATTAGATTATTTGAACGTGAAATAAGATAGGAAAAAACATAAAATTTGTTGTAAAATTTATTCTCGATTAAGCTTATTTTATTACTTAAAGAAAAAATAAGATAGTAAAAACCAAAAGATTGTAACAGAGCAGTCTAAAGAAGTTTTACTTCAAAATTTTTAGATCGTATCTTGTATGGCTTTTGGGGTATCGTTTGAAAGGTGTCGGCGAGTAGAAAACGATTTTGCACAATAAAATGATTATATTGTAAAGAAACGTAATATTATATTGCAAAAAATATTAGAATGTTAAAATTTGTTTTTTAAATATGTATAGTATAAATCTTTTGAACAAATACTAAAATTAAATATATGATTTGTCCACAAAATGTACACTTTTTACAAATTTGTACTAAACGAGCTTAAAGAAGTTTTACTTCAAAATATTTAGATCGTTTATTTTATGGCTTGTGGGGTATCGTTTAAAAGGTCTCGACGAGTAGAAAACGATTTTCTCAAACAAATGATCATAATATAATGAAAACATTATATAATACATAACCATAATTTATTGTAAAAAATTCCAGACTGTTAAAATTCATCGATTTTTTTTTTCAAATATGTGAGATGTAAAACTTTCGTAACAAATACTAAAATTAACTATGAGATTTGCCCACAAAATATACACTTTTAATAAATTTTTAAACTTCATTCTAAAATTTGAAAGGTATATTTGAATAGAATCCGAATACTGCAATTAACTATGCGATTTATCCATAAATGCACACTTTTTACGCATTTTTATTAAACGAGCTTAAAGAAGTTTTACTTCAAAAAAATTAAATTGTGTTTTTTTGGCATGCTGAGTATCATTTGAAAGGTATTTTTGAATAGAATCCGAATACTGCAATTAACTATGTAATTTATCCACGACTTGCACACGTTTTACGCATTTTTATTAAACGAGCTTGAAGAAGTTTTACTTCAAAAATTTTAGATTGTACGTTTTATAGCATGTGGGGTATCGTTTAAAAGGTCTCGACGAGTAGATTTTCAAGAAATTATAAACATTATAAATAATAAAAGTGATAACGGACTCTACTGACGAGCAAACTGAATTAAAGACAAGAGATGGAAAAGGACTCTACTGACAAGCAAATAGAATAAATGACAAGAAATGTAATAAATGACTTAAATAAAAGGCAAGAAGTGAAAAAAGGACTCTACTGACGAGCAAACTAAAATGAAAGACAAAAAATGAAAAAGGGACTTTACTGAGGAACAAAAATAAATAAAAAACAAAAAATGAAAAAGGACTCTACTGACAAGCAAACTGAAATTGAAGACAAAAAATTAAAAGAGACTCTATTGACACATAAACTAAAATTAAAATTTTAGTTTTTTCATATTATATATTTATATAAATCTTATCTAGAATTGAACCCAAGGGTTAATTTACGTGCTACAGTTAGTGGCGCCTCTGTCGAGATAGGAAACAATTTAAATTGCAATCTATTTATACTTCTAAAAATGTTATGGCAAGGCCATGTTACGAAGAACTTTCCATACTAAATATTGACAAGAGCCATGCATTGCATTCATACATCATTACAGAAGAATTTTATATATGATATATATATATATATATATATATATATATATATATTTACCATCACAATCTGAAACATCAGCTTCGCTTTTAACAAATGAAGCAGACACTGCTCCACTCCCCACATGCAATTTTTTATTCTTCAAAACCTTTGCGATGAGATTAACTTTTGTTGCTAACCAGGACAGGCATTTTTCTTTATTAAATTTATATGCCTAAAATATAAAATAAAATAAAATACAAGTAATTATTAATATTAATTTTATAAAACAAAAATATTTGCAGGTCCAAAATTACATTCAAGTCCTGAGATCCTTTTCTATCAGCAACTAAACTAAGTTGTTCTGGGGAAGAACATTTTAATAACCTGTCGGTTGCTGGAAAATCTGGATCTTTTAATATTTGATCTAAGGGGGACGCTTGATTTAAACAGGACTCATATAGATATGGAAGGACTAAAAAAAGTGAGTAAAATTATTGTTTTACACACATATATATATATATATAATATATATATGTATCATTTATCATATATATGTATCATTTATCATATATCCCTTACTTAAAATAAAGGATCAATAGGCGTCGACAAATATAAATTCCCATTTGAAGCCACAGTGTCATTTATAAACCACGAACGCTTTGATTCAGAAAACGACATCATTTCTTGTATTTCATGTTGTTTATTGAAAACAAATAAACTTTTCTTGCCGGTGCCTGGGTGCTTCAAAGGAACTATTTCTAAACTGCAACAGTCACCGATGTAAGAATCTATACCAAAAAATAAATAAAATAATTGAAGAAAGATTTTATCACGTTGTGTAAATAGTATATCTTACCTTGTAGTAAAAATATCCACGTCATTATTGACTAGTTTTAATTATATATTTAATAGTACTTACAAAAATTAATTAAAAATAATGTAATGTTAGGTTAGGTCAGGTTTAAATTTACTATCCACTATATTTTTACTTATATTATATTTATATCATAATTTTATTAACAGGACTTCATTTTAAAATGTTTTTATTTCAATTTATAGTCAGTTTCTGTCACTTTTTTGTGATTTTTTTTACACTTTTGGCGGTATTTTAATTGTACACATAAAATTATTCTTGTAGATACACACTCCATTGACAGTTGATTGAAACGTCAAAGTTGAACATAACCTCAAAAAAAGATTCAATAATTTAATAAGTAAAATAGTATAATTTATTAAATTAAAAGCGGATTTGAGTGCATTATTAGATATTTAATGACTTAGTTAAACTATTTACGTCATGATTGGCTTAGTATTACCTAATAGTAATTGTGAAAATTGAACTTTGTTTTGTGTCTGTGCAACTGTCAAATTTAAATTTGTCTTGCCAACTTCATTGCAGTTCTAATATATGCTAAAACTGTCAAAAAATGATAAAACATGAATTTAAATTGATTTAAATGTTGGAAAATTGATATTTTTGGAAATATTTTGTAAATATTTAAAATTTATCAATTTATAATTAATTTTTTTATATACATTTTATTGAGACAATTGGATTTGTGACTGTTCAACTGTCAAATTTGAATTTGTAGTCAATGTTGAGTACTTTCATTTATATATAATATTTAATTTTGATATCTAATATGTTTTTAATATAATTTACAATCTATTTGTGTCACTTTTTTGAGATTTTTCACTTTATTTACGTTTATATATAAAATTATTGTGTTAATTGACATTTGACAGGTGACGGGTGACACTTGACAGTTGTCAGTTGACAGTTGAATAACGTCAAAGTTCAAGTTAAACATAATCTCAAATTTTTAATAAAACTGCAAATATTCAATCATTTTCATTACGTAAATAACAGATTCGTATTTATAATTACTAATAATATTAATTTTATATTAAATAAACAGCCGAATTAAAAAACATTAGTTAATATCATTTATCTTGACAACTTCACTATGGTTCTAATATATGCTAAAACTGTCACAAAAATGATAAAATATGAATTTAAATATTAAAAATTAATATTTTTGTAGACTATAATTTATTATTAGCAAAATATTGTATATCTAAAGCATAAAGCGATTTTATTTAGATAGATCAACAATTGTTTACGATTTAAATTAATATTTTACACGAATCGTTTTGCGGTTGACAGTTGTTAGTTGACAGTTTGTAACCGACCATATTGGAAATCAAAAATATGATTTGGTTCATTTTTTATATTATTGTTTATATTCTTTAAATTTGTTTTAACACGTATATATTATTATATATCATTAGAAAGCTAATAAAATTATGTACAAATCTGTATATAGTAATTTAAAACTCATTTGCTTCTAAAACTTATAAAATAAAATTTTATAAACATTAAATTTAAATCGTACCAAAATGGCGGTTGTGTCAGTTCATAATAAAACACTCTTGTGATAAAAATATAAAAACTTATTAACACTTAGTACCACGTAATTAAGTGTTAATATTAAATAAACATTTAATATTTATCATATATAATTAATTTATATTTCATTTATATTATCATTTATCATATCGATATTTAGTAAAGTTTATAGGTTATCTTCAGGTGATGCAATATTTGACACTTGGTGACACATGTCTTAACCACAAATTGTTCGCATTTATTTATTGTAATATTTATTTAATTTTAATCTAATTGTAGTGTTTAAAAGTGCAACAAATAAATTTTAATAATGCCTACTATTGGTGTGAAACGAGATTTATTGTTTAAGGCTTTGGGGAAAGAATACAGTAAGTGATAAATGAACTAGATAAGAAAAACATTTATAAATAAAATGTAAATGAAATCATTGTTTAAAATTGTATAAAGTAGCCTTAGTAGATGACAAAACTTTTATAGATTAGTGTAATTATTTATTATTATATTTGGTTATTAAATGTTTGCAAAAGTTTTGCCGGTGAACATATGTTACAAGACCTAGCTCCTATTGACTTAATCATTTTTACATTTCAGCCGAAGAAGAGTTCCAAAATCTGTGTTTTGCCTTTGGGTTGGAACTTGATGAAGTGGTGAGTAAAACCTTAGTATAACTTTTTCTGAATAATTATGCATTAAGTTCCAATGACAATTATTATATATTATTTAGATTCTTCTATGACTATTTCTCATTGTGTCTTTTTATTCTAGACGACAGAAAAGCACATGTTAGTGAAAGAACAAGGCGATGTTTCTGCAGCTAAAGATGCCTCCGAGGAAATTATTTACAGAATTGATATACCAGCAAACCGTTACGATTTGCTGTGTCTGGAAGGCTTGGTTGCGGGGCTTCTTGTATTCCAAGGAAAGTAAGAATATTTTAAAATTTTAAGATCTTAAAAATGGTTGGGTATGAATTTTTGTAAAAATGTATTATTGAAGTGATAACTTTCATTTTTTAATAATAAAAGAATTATTTTCATATACATTTCTAATATAAAAAATATTATTAAAATATAAAGTATTGCTTGTATAAATATTTTAATGAGATTTCTAATGAGTCGTGTGTTAAAATAGAAAGAGACAAATGGAAATGGAAGCATAATAAAATATATGAAATTGTTGTAAGTTGTCTGAAAGTCCTTCCAGCGATCTGGATGTGTTCACTAGAAGTTTCAACAAAATCTTCATTTTTTTTTATAGCATAAAATACTACTTTCACCTTATTATTTTTTTTGTATTCTAGAATGGCACCTCCAAAGTTTCGGTTGACTGATAACTCGGACAAAATACAGCATTGGTTTTAACACCAGCCACAGCTCAAATTAGACCATTTGCAGTTGCTGCAGTTTTAAGAAACATTACATTCACACCAGATAGTTATAACAGTTTCATCGACTTACAGGTAAGGAACAGAAACAGAAACAATTCATATTTTTCATAAAACCTCCGCTTTGCCCTTATCACGGAAACCGCCATTAGGCATTACTTTGTGGGGGGAGGATCTAGAATCATAGAAATTATATTCCCAAGTCTAATTATCTTTATCCTTTCTTTTTTAGGATAAACTCCACCAAAACCTCTGTCGCAAAAGATCACTAGTTGCAATAGGCACACACGACTTAGACACAATTTCTGGACCGTTCACTTACGATGCTCTTCCTCCGAACGAAATTAAATTCAAACCTTTGAATCAAGATAAAGAGATGACGGCTGTTGAACTTATGGAGTTTTATTCGGTGAGTTGATAAAATAAAAATCACATAATAAATAATTCAGGCCTTATCATTAATTTCTATTTGTATCTATTTATTAGACCCATGCTCAGTTGAGCAATACCTTCCAATAATACGTGAAAGTCCGGTGTATCCTGTTATCAAGGATTCTAAAGGAATGTTCTGTCTTTGCCGCCGATTATAAATGGAGATCTTCCAAAATTACGTTAGATACTAAAAATGTGTCATCGAATGTACGGCTACTGATTTAACTAAGGTAAGTGATTTTTTAATTTTTTTTTAATTACAATATATGTTACAACTGCTGAATATTTAAAATCTCAGTAGTACAGTAATGAACAATAACATAAGTTTAATGAAGAAATAGTACAAAGGATAGTATTTATAATTAAAATGATATCCGTAGTATGATGATTTAATATAAAATAAAAGCAAATAATAATAAAATTAATAAAAAAACAATAATTGTCAATGGATTTCATTTATATTCTTATAGGTTTCTATTTAGATTCTGTTAGTTTCTTTTTGGATTTTTAGAAGATTCTTTCTAGAGTCTGTTTGCTTTTTTACAGAAATTTCATTGGATATTTACTAGAATAATATTATTATTACTTATATCTTTATAAGATTATCTTTTTTATTCTATTAGGCTCTTATTACATTGTTATTAGACTCTTATAAAATTCTTATTGGATTCCTTTTAGATTTTATAGGTTTCTTCTTTTAAGTAATGATTGGTTTCTTGTTGGATTCTTATAAAAGATAATTTAATTACTTTTTTAATCATATATAATAATATATACTTGTTTGAAAAATTATTAACAAAATCAATCAAAATATAAAAATATGTAACCAGCAGACATCTTGGTTACAAAAGTGACGTCACTATTAAATTATAAAGTTTAAACAATTATTTTAACATAATTTTGTTCCAAATGTTTTTTAGTGTTATATACAGATTTATAGATAATTTTATTAGCTTTCTAATGATATATAATAGTATACACTTATTTTAACAAATTATTAACAAATTGATCAAATTAAAAAAAAAATGATATGGCGCGAACATACTCCCGGCCTTGAAATACACGATTTCAAAAATTCTTGCCGAAATCTTTTTGCTTTTTTACAGAAATTT